CTTCATTCTCCAGGATGTCTGGCTCTAGATCAGTAACCACACCATCATGATTATTGGTGATATTAAGAGCTTTCTTATATAGGGAAATGGATCTAGAAAATATTCAAATAAAAACCCATACAATGTTACAGCAATGAATACTTCTTCCAAATGGAGGAAAAGGAATGAAAAATGTTCTCAGAATACACAATTAAAAAAAAAAGATTAAAAAGTGACAGAAAACTTTTTGAAACAAGCAGACCTCACTTCAAAAGCAATACTAAAATATGGCAATGAGTATAAGCCATTAGATTTGTCAAATGTAACCAAAAGTGGCTTACCTCCAGACAGAGCCTATGACACTGCTAAGATCCATGAATGTAATCAAAAGGCCTTCCATATATAATATCCCCATGAATCCAAACAACTGTATGTCAAAAAAGAAGCATCAAACAAATGCTGAGTCATGTAAATCTGTTTATGGACATGGAAGGATTTTTGCTAGTGATTTCAGACGGGGCCTAAAAAAATGTTTTCCTTAAGACCAGATTTAGGGATCAATTTGGATTTTGTAATAAAGCAGTAAAAACTGTGCAACCTATCACTGTAGGTTACAAATACTTAGTATCCTTTAAATAATAATAAAGACATGATGTAACTGAAATTATACACCAGAAGCTTACAAATACAAACCCTAAATATCCTTCAAAATTCAACAAATTCTAATGGAAGTGGAATATCATTACAGACAGAACTGTTGCCTGCCTACAACTTCTCAGCTATAATGTTGATATATAAAAAAAATTAAGAATCATTTTAATAGATGTTAGCATACTAAATACTCATAATCTCCAAAATATTTGGAATGAAAAAATTTCAAAACATAAAGACCTAGCAGAAGAAATCAAAATTATATGGGGAGAAAAATAGAAGTCTATAATGCCCCCACCATCTTGTCTGCTACTGAAGTTGTTCCAAAATACTTTCACTGAGTCTTTAATTCAACTACAAAAGACAATGCTTTTATTTGTTCTACACAATAGTCTGCAAAGCATTGAATAAAAAAGGATAGCAGAAATGGTGACTTGTCCATTTGTATCTGAACCTCATCAAAAAAATGAGAACAAAATGAAATAAAATAACTTTGGATAGTGATTATACCTTTAAGAAAGTAGAAAATCTGAGAGACTGACAATTTAACTGCAGTGGCAGAAGGAATCTATGTGAGGTATTTAGAGAAGACTGACAAAATTTCATGTCTTGAAGAGACTGACAGGTAGTCAAGCCGTTAGAGAAAGTCTGTGAGAGATTTGAAAGTTAACTGTCCTTAATTAAGACATTCTGTGGAGAATTACTAAGCAGTACTAAATAAATTTAACTGTCTTTCATTCCTGATGAGAATTAAATTGAGTTAAATGTTATTCTGTGGGAAAAGCAGTTAACTAGAATTTCTGAGGAGAATTAAGTAAAATTCTACTCCAAGAGAGACTGAGTTAACTACAGTCTAAATGGTATTTATTTTTTGGACAGTGTTTTGGAGGAGTTAGCAGCTGATGATGGGTTAAAGGAATACTAGTTAATAGTTAAGGAATACTAGTTAATAGGTGAGGTCAGAGGTTATCTCCATTGCAGCTATGTATTGGTTAAATATTCTTCTATATTTTTGAAGAATTAAATATTAGTCCCAGAAACAAAAACTGGTCAACATGCTCAGGATCTTAAAGAACATAATCAAAATTAGTCAGTGGACCTAGTCAGAAATGCATTATCATCCACCATAGTCTTTTCAGTCAATTCTCTACAAACCACTGTGCAAACAATCTTGAAACTCAAACATCAAAATTCTGACCAAAAACCATATCCATACCTATCAAGAGTCTATTTTTCAAATCAATTACATTTTTACAGGTCACTTGCCTTCACTATTGTGGTTTATATTGCAATTAGAATCTCTCAATAAAACAAAATTTTCCAGGAAAACAGCAGGCTACTCTGGTCTAATAATCAGAATAATGAGCTACACAGGTCCTTGGCTGAACCTGTTACAAAATTTAATCCTTTTACCTTAATTTACCTACCATATAACATGGTGAGACTGACAGCACAGGACTAGTGGAAAGATTTTTAAATATATGTAAGACTTCTGAAGTTTGATAGTACATATCATTCAAGTATACAAGCCATAGGATCATTCTTTTCTCTCCAAGGTAGGTTTCCATTTGCTTACTGATATGAAAGGATACTGCAAATAAGGAAATTCTATCAATTTCTGCTTATAAAAAAATAAGCCAGTACAGGCACTTTTAACCAGTTAATAGTTTAACTATTTCAGAAGATGTTAACATTCATCATGAGCTTTGGTTCATTATTAAGTGTCTACAGAAGATCTTGAATCTTTCAGATATAAAAATGATATGGACAGTAAAATATGAAGAAGCACAGAATGAAAACCTAGATTTGGAGTGAATGTCACTCACTGTAGGTTATTTACAAAGATCTCTGATTCTCTCCTATGCCCTTAAACATTACTTCATGACTTTTTAGTGAAATTTTTTATTAAAGATGAAAATTAGTAGGAATTCTTAACTCATATCCAGGAATTACTTTTTAAGAAGCAAAGGACTCCAGTTATCATCTGTGACTCCTCCCTCCTCAAAAATAAAATTAGCACAGACTGATAATCTATTTTCTCCCCTTTCATTCAATCCCAGTTTCAAAAAAAATTGTCAAACTAAATGAGTTCTATTATAGCAACAAGTGTCATGAATCCACCTACATTCCACTGTAGGTCCCAAAATTTTTTCTGTAAATGTCAACCTGTTTATTATATACCCTGAGGACATCTATGAATATCCATGTTTTAAAAACTGTATATACCTTGAACAAGTTATTTTACCTCACTGAATCTCAGTTTTCCTCATTCATAAAATAAAGTAATTATACTAGAGTATCTTCTGGTTCTAAATTTCTGTGATTCTAGGATATTTATTCAGTGGGTCAATTTTTTTTTACTTTAAGGAAAATAAGTTTAAAACACTTAAAGGCTTTTGCATAAATAAGCTTTTGTTTATTGAAGTTTGAAAGATTGATCTGAAGTGCCAAAAGCATCTTAGAAGAAGTATTTTACTTTATACTTTAAAAGAACAATCTAATGAAAAGCCTTTTAAGACTATTTTATTTTGGGGTGCAGCTAGGTGGCACAGTGGATAGAGCACTGGCCCCCGGATTCAGGAGGACCTGAGTTCAAATCCAACCTCAGACACATAACACTTACTAGCTGTGTGACCTTGGGCAAGTCACTTGACCCCATTGCCTAGCAAAAACAAAACCAAAAAAAAGACTATTTTATTTAACTATTTAAACACAAGTCTTAGAACTTTCTTCCTTATATTTGGCATTGTTTATTATTCTTGAAAACAGAAGTCAAGGTTGCACTATAGGTGATTTAGAAGAAAGTGAATCAATGCTATTTAAAATTAAGCCAAAGCAAACAACACAAAGATGGTATCCTTGCTTTTTTAAAGAGGGCCTACACTGTTGTTCTTCCTACCATTATTTTCAGGTGTTGCAGTTGAATCCTCTCCTTATCCCAAACCAGAATGATGCAGTTTGCAAAGTGACATAAATCTACAGAGGTCTTGGATCTGTTTTTTTCTAAATTACTGCTTCCTTCTCTCCCAACTCTTCCTACTTTATATTTATCTCTGACTTTTGCTATACTACACCTTACTCTTTTTTTCCACTACCTCTGCTCCTTGACTCCCCCTCCCTAGTCCTTCTGCTTTCTTCTGCCTTTATCCAACCCTATATGGATACCAGAAAGGAAAAAGCCAAAAGACACTGTTTAACCATATGCTCCTTGAAGCAGGAATCAGAATATTCCTAGCATGGGTTTACTTACTGTCAAAGTAATACTAATGAACAGGAAGTCAGAACAGACCATGCTGACATATTTTCAAGCAAGACACTTGGGCCTGTTCTTGTTTCTTTTTGAAAGAAGCTTTAAATAACAACACCGCCAGGGAACTATTGCATTATCACACCTCAACCCCAATTTTAAACACTACAATAAGTTAATTACAGTGGTTTCCTTTTATAAGTCTTTAGTTTTTGCATTGCTGCAAGAGCAAGTTTTTGCAACTGCCACTCAAGATTTTTCATTATCATAAAGTTGAGTTCCGATTACACCCTTTAGAATAGGTTTAAATATACCAACATCAAACCAACATTATTTCTGCAGCCTCCTTCAGGACCGAGGAAAGGCCAAACCCAGGAGGGGAAAAAATAAGTATGATAAAATAAACAAAAGGTAGTAACACATCTCTTAAGCCAGACCTCTCATTTCTTCAGAAGATAAAACTCCACCTTTAGTAAAAACTGGTGTACGCTTATAAATTATTTATACCAAATATCCAAGGTTATAAGAGCAAAATGAGACTGAGATATAATAAAACCCAGGTAATTTTCATCTTCCTGCATTCTTTTGCTTTGCATTTTTAACAGCTTGATCGCAAAGGTTGGAGAGGTTTTGGTGTGCGGCTAAGAAGAAAAGAACTATCTTCCTGTAAAACGCACAATTTTTGCCTCTCTCTTCTTGAAATCGAAATGTGATTCTCAAAGACGCTTACACACTTTCCCAGCCGTAGAGCTGCCCACAAGCCTCAGTGGCATAACCAACTTCTCTTTTCAGTAAATCAGCAACCCACTCCAAATCTTACCCCACCCCGACGCTAGTCTCACTTTGCCCCCTCCTACTAAAGGTTAGGTTGCGAAGAAAACTACTGTGCACCCCCATTAGTCTCCTCCCCAAAGAAAAGTGGATTTCAAAGAACAGACACTTGGGTCCAACTCTACTCCAACTCGCTCAGCTGACCCCTCAGGCTATCCGGAAACTGGAAGGCTGTAATGTGAGTGGACAGGAGAGCTGGGCGTGAAGGGAAGAGAAGAGAGTCAGCAGTAGGTCATAGAGCCTGCTACTAGTCTTCCCCTGAGAGGCTGCAGCCGTTAGAGGCGGGACTCACTTGAAGGTGAGGACGCAGAGAGGACGGTAGGACTTGTGACTGGTGTTTTCGGCCATGCCTTTGCCCCAGAAATCGTTGGCGAAGATGCCCCATGTCAGAGGGGCAGCCGCCCGAACGTCTGGGTTGTTCACAATTGCCCACACGTCGTCGTGCACAAACTCGCCCGGCAGGGAGTTTGCATAACACAGACAGCAGACTGTGGTCAGTAGCACCGCAGCCTCCGCCGGCGCCAGGCAGCAGCCCCTTTGGCGCTGGCCCGAGGGAGCCCGATCCCTTCTGCTGCCGCCGCCAACGCCGCCACTGGCAGAGGTTGTCACCACCATCCTGCTGTTGCCGCTGCTGCCCTGGCTGCTCTGGAGCGACTGGCATCCTCCTCCTCGAGGGCTCTGACAGAAGGCAGCACCAGCAAGCTGGGAGCGAGCATGGTGCGGCAGCAGCAGATCGACTTACCCACCCACCACCGGGGACCTGCGCTTGGCTGCTACCTCTGCAAGTTGGTCCAGCTGCAAATAAACAGCAACCCTCCCTCCTCCCTTAGTCATCTCCGCCTCCTCTGCCCTACTGCGCATGCACCGCCTGCCTGCGCAACCCCCTCCACCTCTCCAAAATCTGGAGACTACGTTTTCTCCGAGGCTTACAGCTTTTGCATTCTGTAGTGGGCCCTTGCTAGATTTAAGCTGCGTTGCACACTGAAAAAGAGTCGGCCGGCCCGGGGGACTGAGAAATCTCCCCACCTGTATGGCCGCCCCACCTCCTTGCCCCCGTATCAGTAAAAGACTGACTCTAATGCAGTCTGGTTTTCTCTTCTCTGTAGTCATCCACCCCACCGAGCATAGTCTTCACCGCAGAGGGGAAAAAAAAATAAGGTGCCAATGATCTTGATGCGCCGTTTATGACGAATGCATCTGGATACCCCGAGGCTGTTCCCCTTCCACCACCATCACCCCAAACGTTGTTGACGTTTGTCTGGAAGTTGCCCAGTATTTTCAGTACTTCGGCCAACAGCAAGAGAAGACGGTAGTGGAACTATTTCGGGCTCAGAAGAGATAGATATTATAATATCTCCTTCACATACTCCAGTTGCCGTTTTTTCTACCTATAGTTCTGGAATCTCTGTTGAAGGATTTTCTCTTGTCTAGAGCATTATTAAGCAGTTCTACCACCTTAGAGAGGTCTGCAATCGAGTCTTCTGGGAGATGTCAGAAAGGCTGAGCTTCCAAATGTATGTTTTAGAAAGCCAAAAGAAACTATGGCAAGGACTCCTTGTTCTTTGCCGAACGCCCTTCCTTCGACTTGTTCTAAGTCTCAATCCCTGGTGTTTTTTTCCCTAGGCAATCGGGGAGTCTGGGGAGAAGGGAGGGGAAGGAAAGGAGTATTTTGGCTTGGGCACTGAATTTACTTCTCTTTTTTATTTTGGTTTTGTGCCAAATTCTTGATAGTGAAATAGAGAGGGGAGGGAGGGAGAAGGGAGAGAGAGGAAGAGAGAAAGAAAAATCACTCTATCTACCATCTATCTATTTGAGAGGCAGCCTGGCATAGTAGATAGAGAACCCAGAGTCAAAGGCAGAAAGATATGGATTCAAGTACTACTTCTGATGTATAAGGGCTGTGTGACCCTGGGCAAGTCACTTAACCCCTCCTTGCTCTACGCAACTCTTCAGGACCATGAGTAGCAGAAAAGGTGCCAATAGTTTTGGTTGAGGAAGTTCTGTCATCTGGGTGTTCTTTGTATCAGTGAAATCCCAGATCCAGTGTATTATCCCCAGTGCTTTAGACGTTTGAATAATTCCTTCTAAGTCAATATGCAAAGATTCTCCAAAGCTCCCTGGCTTTGACTCTTAAGCTCCCCCTTTTATGAAAGTTCTCTTCCCCCCCAAAAAAACAACTTTGGTTGATCCATAATTTCATCGATGTGAATACTTCCTCACAGTACAGATTTCAATCCATCAATATTTGAGGCAGTGAGGTGGCACACTGGAACTGGAGTCAGGAACATCTAAATTTAAATCCTCCTAAGTTCAAATATCCTTAAATATTTATTAGCTCTGTAACCCTGAGAAAGGCACTTAACCTGTTTGCTCAGTTTCCTCATATATAAAATGGGAGATAATAAGAGCACTTAACAGAGTTGTGAGGATAAAATGAGATTTTTAAAAATTTATTTAGTATTTTATTTTTCCCTAGTTACAAGTAAAAACAATCAACATTCGTTTTTAAAACTTTGAGTTCCAAATTCTCTCCATTCCTCCCTCTGCACTCCCTTCCCCATTGAGAAGGCAAGCAATTCGATGTAGATTATACATGTGTAGTCATGTAAAACATATCCGTAATAGTCATGTTGTGAAAGAAAACAGACAAATAAAAAACTCAAGAAAAAGTAAAGTAAAAAACCATATATATGCTTCAAGCTGTATTTAGACACCATCAGTTCTTCCTCTGGGGATGGATAGCATTTTTCATCATAAGTACTTCAGAGTTGTCTTGTATCATTGTATTTCATCCTACAATATTGCTGTTACTTTGTATACAATACATTTAACTTTGCAGCAGCCCATGCAAATCTTTCCAGGTTTTTCTGAGAGCATCCTTATCATCATTTTTTTTTTTTTGGTGAGGTAATGGGGGTTTAGTGATTTGCCCAGAGTTATACAACTACTGAGTGTTATATGTCTGAAGCTGGATTTGAACTGAGATCCTCTCGACTCCAAGGCCAGTGCTCTATCGACTGCCACCTAGCTGGGCACCATTATTTCTTGTAGTATCACAGTATTGCATCATAATGACACACCACAACTTGTTCAACCATTCCCCAATTGACCGGCATCCCCTCAATTTCTAATTCTTTGCCCCTAGAAAAGAGCTGGTATATTTTTTACATATAGATCCTTCTCCTTTTTGTTTTTTATCTCTTTTCAGATACAGACCTAGTAGTGGAATTGCTAGCTCAAAGGGTATGCATGGTTTTATGGCCCTTTGGGCAGAGTTCCAAATTGCCCTACAGAATGATTGAATCAGTTCACAACTCCACTAATAGTGCATTAATGTCTCATTTTCCCCATATCACCTGCAACATTTGTCATTTACCTTTTCATTCCTATTAGCCAATCTAATAGGTATAAGGTAGTACCTCAGAATTGTTTTAATTTGCATTTCTCAAATCAATAGTGAGTTAGAGTATTTTTTCATATGGCTATAGATAGCTTTGATTACTATACCTGAAAACTGATCACATCTTTTAATTACTTATCAGTTGGGGAATGGCTCTTATATTTATAAATTTGACTCAGTTTTCTATATATTTGAGAAATGAGACCTTTATCAGAGAAACTTGCTTCAAATTTTTTTTCACAGTTACTATTGCTAACTGTATTTCCTCTCCATCCTATTTCCTGTGCATTTATTCTATTCTTTCTCCTTTCACCCAGTCCCTCCTCAAAACTGTTTTGCTTCTAACTACCTCCTCCCCCAATCTACCCTCCCTTCTATCACATTCCTCCTCCTTCTCTTATTCTCTTCCCCTCCTGCTTTCCTGTAGGGTAAGATGGATTTCTATACCCAATATGTTACTCCCTCTTTGAACCAATTCTAATGAGACTAAAGTTCACTCACTCCTCCTCCCTTCCCCCCCATACTGTAAAAGATTTTTCTTGCCTCTTTTATGTGAGATAATCTACCCCATTCTACCTCTCCCTTTCTCTTTCTCCCAGTGCATTCCTCTCTCACCCTTTAATTTTATTTTTATTTATTTATCATCCCTTCATATTCAACTCACACCTGTGTCCTCTGTCTATATATACTCCATCTAACTACTCTAATAAAGAGAAAGGTCTTACAAGTTACAAATATCCTCTTCTCATGTAGGAATGTAAACAGATTAACCTTATTAAGTTCCTTATGATTTCCCTTTCCTGTTTACCTTCTTATGCTTCTCTTGAGTCTTGTATTTAAAAGTCAAATTTTCTATTCAGCTCTGGTCTTTTCATCAAGAATTCTTGAAAGTCCTCTATCTCATTGAATATCCTTTTTTTTCCTCTGAAGGATTACACTCAGTTTTGCTGGGTAGGTGATTCTTGGTTGTACTCCTAGCTCCTTTGTCTTCTGGAATATCATATTCCAAGCCTTCTGATCCTTTCATGTAGAAGCTGCTAAATCTTGTGTTATCCTGATTATGTTTCCACAATATTTGAATTATTTCTTTCTGGCTGCTTTATATTTTCTCCTTGACCTGGGAACTCTGAAATTTCCCTATAATATTTCTGGCAGTTTTCCTTTTGGGATCTCTTTCAGGAGGTGATCAGTGGATTCTTTCCATTTCTATTTCAGAAATGGTTCTGGAATATCAGGGCAGTTTTCCTTGTTTTCTTGAAAAATGATGTCTAGGCTCTTTTTTTTTATCATGGCTTTCAGGTAATCCAATAATTTTTAAATTATCTCTCCTAGATCTATTTTCCATGTAAGTTGTTTTTCCAATGAAATGTTTCATTGTCTATTTTTTCATTATTTTGGTTTTGTTTGTTTCTTCATTTCTTATAAAGTCATTAGCTTCCATTTGCTCCATTCTAATTTTTCACTTTTATTTTCTTCAGTGAGCTTTTGGACTTCCTTTTCCATTTGGCTAATTCTGATTTTTAAGGCATTCTTCTCATTGGCTTTTTGGCCCTTATCTACCATTTGGCCTATTCTGTTTTTTAAGGTGTTATTTTCTTCAGTATTTGTGTGTGTGTGTGTGTGTGTGTGTGTGTGTGTGTCTCCTTTAGCAAGCTTTGACTTGCTTTGCATGATTTTCTCATTTCTCTTGATTTCTCATTTCTCATGATTTTCTCATTTCTCTTCCCAATTTTTCCTCTACCTCTCTTACTTGATTTTCAAAATCCTTTTTGAGCTCTTCCATGGCCTAAGACCAATTCATACTTTTCTTGAAGGCTTTGGATGTAGGATCTTTGCTTTCTTCTTCTGAGTGTGTTTAGATATTCCTTGTCACCGTAGTAACTTTCTATAATCAGAGGATTTTTCCATTGTTTGCTTATTTTTCCAGCCTATTACTTGACTTTTAAGTGTTTGTTAAAGTAGGGCTTTGTTTCTAGGGTGGAGGGCGCACTGTCCCAAGCTTCAGGGGCTTTGTGCAGCTGTTTCAGAGATATTTCTAGGGACCTGTAAGTTTTCAGTTCTTGCAAGGTGGCAGGATCTAAGGAGAGGTGTTTACTACTCTCCTGTACTATGCACTGGTCTGAGTGACAACAAGCACTCTTTTTCTGCCCTGGAACTGTGAGGAGGGTCCCCCTCCATAATGGCTTCAAGCTCTGCTATGCTAGTGCTCCTCCTCGCCCTGGGATTGCCACCAAGAACAGCAACCAGGATCTGAGGTTCTGCCTCAGTGCTAGCAAAAAGACCCCTTTAATCTCTTATTGACCAGTTGGTCACCCCATTACCATCTGCGGGCTGAGAGCTCTGGGAAGGAGCTACTGCTGTTATTCAATCACTCCTAAGACCTGCTCCTGGTTTGCTGGAGCTGGAGCTGCGCTGGGGTGGCCACAACAGACCTTTCCTGCTGACCTTCCAAGTTGTCTTGGGCTAGAAATTTGTTTCACTCCATCTTTTTGTGGGTTCTGCTGCTTTAGAATTTGTTCAGAGTCATTTTTTAAAGGTATTTGGAGGAGTTTGGGGGAGAGCTCAGGTAAGTCTCTGCCTTTACTCCACCATCTTGGCTCTGCCTCCCTAAAATGAGATATTTTTAAAGCACTATATGAATGCTTGTGCATTAATATTAATTAATTCCAATTTATCCTAAATATATTTTGTTGGTACACAGTTTTCATGTTCTTTCCTTCATTAGACTATGAATTCCTTGAGTATAGGGACTGTCTTTTGCTTTTCTTTGTATCACCAGTGCTTAGCACAGCCTGGCACATAGTAGGTATTTAAAATGCTTTTCCAAATTAATTTTATTATTGTTTTATCAATTTATATAAAGTAACCCTTTGATAATTTGGCCTAGCATTGTTAGTGTAAATTAGCTTTGTCAATTTTATCCTATCTTGGCCCAGCTGAGCCATGAGCACTAAATATTCCTTCTATTTATATTTTTCTTTATTCCTTTAAAGAACACTTTGTAACTGAATTGATTCAAGTCTTTTGTGTCCTTTGGTAGACTGATCCCCAGATACTTAATATACTTTGCAGATATTTGTAATGGGATTTCCCCTTCTATTATTAGCTCTGGGATTTTATTATTATATATAGAAATGAAGTTGATTTTTGAGTTTATTTTGTACCTTGAAACTTTGCTGAAGCTTTTGTCAATTGATATCTTTGCTGATTCTCTAAGATTTTCCAAGTGTAGCATCATATCATTAGCAAATAGAGGAAGTTTTCATCTATTTAACCTATTTTTATTCTTTTCATTTCTTTCTCTTATCTTATTGCTATTGCTAGCATTTCTAAAACTACATAGAATAATAGTGAGGGAAATGGGCATCCTTGCTTTACTCTCATATTTACTGTAAAAGTGTATCTAGTGTATCCCCCTTGAATATAATGCTTTGTTTTAGATTTCGATAGGTACTTTTTGTGCTATTTTACAAAAGGTCCCTCTGTGCCTATACTTTATAGGTTGTTGTTGTTTATAGCATAAACAAAGGCCTTTATCAAGGGCTTTTTCTACATATTGAGGTATTCATGTTGATTTTGGATATTTTTCTTTTTAATATGATCACTTATGTTGTTTTCCTAATGTTGAACTGCTCTTGAATCCCTGGTATAAATCTGCCTTCATCATGATGAATATTATCTCATTGAATCCTCACAACAACCTTAAGATATAGGTGCTATTATTATTCCCACATTTTTACTGATAAGATTGGTTACCATCTTTTCATTATATGTGATTCTCTGTGCTCCTGTGCAGCACCGTCTTATGAGAAGGAAAAATATACATAGAATCACATAGGGATTTGGGGGAAAATAGAATCCAGGATTTTTACTCTGTATCTATTCTACTGCTGTAAC